CTGAGATGAAATGAAATAGTTTATTGCTAATGTACACTCAACAGCCAGCCGTTTTGAACATCTGTAGTCATATTTCTGCACGACACACCTGCTGCAAAGACTACATCCCTGGGAGGAGAAGCCTCTGCATCCATCCTTTGCGTTAGCAGACATCTGTTTCTATGGTTTCTCTTGAAAATCTAATCATCAAATATTTGTGTTTACGTTGAAGAGGTTATCTTGTTACCCCATTTGCATTTCTACCTATTTTGGCTGCGCAGGTAAATATTTGATTCATGAGGCAGTGTCACCTGATTCTGTATGAAAGTTAATGCCACCGTGGAGAGATGTGTCAGCAGCATTCTGAATGTGTGAGGCACAGCAAACAGCTTGACTAATCTCATGTGTGCTGACACTGTGACTGATGATCAGTGTGTTGGTGGCCCACCTAAGTGCGGACCATAATCTCTTGGCTCAGGGTGATATTGCCAGGTTCAGCTTTTACTGGAGTGGCCTCTTGTCAGCTCTCATAAGAGAAAACAAAAAACAAAACAAAAAGAAATTGTCTTAGATCAACATGATTGGGATAAAAAAAACAGACACAACCAATTACAGCTTTAAGAGTTAGATCCATGAGCAGGCTTTTGATTTTCAAAAAGCAACAAAAACACATAAAATCTCTGATTGTGACTGATTATTTAATAATAAAAATTGGTTCATTTTTGGCTCCTATTTCACCATCTCATGACTCAAAGATTAAAAGCTGAAGAAAGGCTGAATTGAAAAGTGAAAGAGAGAGAGAGAGAAGAGAGACTCTTGTTACTTGATTTGATGATTTTTTTATTTTACTGCTTTATGGTGTTTACAAAGGAAAGGATAAACCTGTTATAATTTAAGAGCTGTGAGCACAGTAGCTCTTGAAATAAATAAAGTAAAATATGCACAACTGTCCAGTGCTGAAGTTCTACCTGCAGAGCTGAAAACCTGTGTGTTTACTGGAGATCTCCCAAAGGTACATAACACACTGTAGGTGTAAGTTTATTCATCATTTCATCTCCAAGTCTTTGCACATCATCACTGAATTGCATCACCCTCCTACTTCTGTAACCTAATGTCTTTTTTTCCACAGAGATTGTTTTTACAATGAAACTCAGCTGTGACTCAACATAATCTTTACTTTTATCATGATCACAGTTTTGTCTATACACACCTCTATACTGTGCAATTCTTTCTTTTTTAATTTTCTTAACATTTCATTCAATTTGAAAACTGCAATTTAGAAAATAGACTCCTAATTTCAGTATGTTTTTAGGTGATAGAATCTCATTTGTTGTGAACATTATTTTGTTGGTTTTCTGAGATATTTAGTGTTGTTGTTTCCTATTTAAGAAGTTATTATTTTTTGATGACTGTTTTTATGTTTTTCAGCATTTGTGAAGCATATTAAGGTGCATCATAGTAAATTATATCAATTTATTTCACAGTGGAGCTGTAACAGGATCATTAGGAGACATCTGTCTTAGACTGTATTTCAAAACTAATTAACTACATGCATTGAATATGTTAATACCTACACATAACACCTGTGTAAGAATATTTCGTGTTCGTTAACTGAAATCGTGACAAAACCACATGAATGTTGAATAGATTAAAATGTGAAGAGAATGGACCATACAATCCCAGATCTGGATACTGAGCAAAGCTTTATTGCTTACAGCTGAAGCCAGCAAAAAGCAGCGCTGCTTGAAACCGGAAGTTCCGGTCTTTAAAAACGGGGATCTTCGGTGCCCGGTACGCCCACTACAGGCCTACGGCTGAATCGCAGACATTCATACAGACATCCTGTACTCATGTTTGATTAATGGTTTTTTTATGTGCTGTCATGGTGTTTTGGGGCATTTAACTAAAACTGTTTTAATCAGGACGTTACAATAGTCAAACAATAGATTATAAAAGTCAAGCCTTAAAAAGGAAACTAAGACAAATGGTGTGGTGCTTCAAATCAGTGTCTTAGGTCGTATTCAGACCTGATAATTTGCTCCGCTTTAAACGAACCAGAGTTCGTTTCCAGCGTTGGTCCGGACCTTTTGTGCAGGTGTGAAATCACTCATGCAAACTCTGGTGCGGATNATATTTGCCTGAGCACATGTCATACGAACATGACGGTAAATGTCCTCATCATCAGATAGACCATCTGTCAAAACAAGACCAAGATATTTTACTTCATTTGAGACATTCAAAAAAGTCCCAGACAGCTTAAGAATGGGAAATACCCTATTTTTTGTCCTCTTTAGTGTGACAGATGAGAATGTTACTTTTTGATGGATTGAATTTGAATCATATAGCTCATAGTATAGTATAGTATAGTATAGTATAGTACTTCAACATTAATTGTACAAGGATTTAGAAAATAAAATCTGTTATATTAAGAAAAATGCATGAATGGACGTTCCATTGAAAGAAGTACAGTATATAGATCAGCTTTGTCTTGGCATTGCTTCTGAATGTTTCTACAAAAAGGTAGATATTATCTGAGGGGATATCTATCCAAGAAAAGATTTGATATTCCATATAATATCTTTAAATTAAGGGGGTCTGGATCCAACCGATCCCTCCCGAGATTTCTGTATATGCTGGTATGAATTCTCTCACGTGTATAAAACAGCAAGACCAAAGTGTGTGATTCACCTTTTTCACACTCATCAAGTCATTCAGTGACCCTGTGGATAGGGGCATTGTCATTCTGGAAGGGACCACTCTCATCAGGATGGAGACGTTTCATCACAGAACAGAGGTGTGATCAAACAGAAAAACTTTGTATTGATTTGTGTTGACCCTTTTTTCCTGAGAGGACAAGTGAACCCAAAGATGGGAGCAAAATTACTCCACTGCTGAGAGTCACTGAAGTCCTTTGCTGAAGGAATGAAGGCTGCATTTTATTGGAGTTTGTCACATCTTTGTGAATATGTAGGAAATGTAATGAGTCTTTCAAAGAGGCTGTTTGGAAAATAGGTGAATAGATTTCATGTGCAAATCTTCAATTTTGCTATATTCTACTGTTTTGAAATGAGGCTATTAATGTGTTCCATTTGAAATGATGTCATTAAAAACCAGCAATAATTGAAGCTAATGAAGAACATTGGTAAATAAATGTAAATTTATTTATTAATTTAAAAGAAAACAACAAGAAAGTTAAAAAAAGTACATCAAACACTGAATGAAAAAGGTGCAGAAAGAAAAAAAAATCTTATGTTTGCCCCTTCCAATGTCGATACAAAAAATTATTTTTCTAAAACAAACAATTTATCCTAACCTAAAGTGCAGAAAAAAATCTAACTCTGAATAACAGCTGAAAGCAAAAGAAAGGGGAAAATATAGATTTATTTTTTTCTACTTAATATAACCAGAGTACAAGATAAAAATAAATGTCAGACAAAGCTACTTTTAGATGTGACTTATTTTCTGAGTAGTGAACTAGAAACACACAGCTCAGATAATGAAGAGTCGTCAAGAAAACTGATATGCAAAATCTACACCTAATAATCCATGTCCCCTTGTGATATCACAGAAACAAGTTTTTGACGTATCTCACTGACAGTTTGAATTATTGTAGCGATAACATGGTGAAATTACATTGTTACATGGTGAGATATGCTAACAAAATGACGGATTTTAAAATGGTTTTGCATAAGTAACTTTTTTTTGAGACATGGATAAAGAAGTTCATTTATTGAATAACCTTTATTTTACCAGGCATATCCCACTGAGATCAGATCTCTTGTCTGAAGACAAACTAACGTGCATGTTTTTGGACTGTGGGAGAAAACCCACGCAAGCACAAGGAAAACATGCAAAGACCCCAGGGATCGAACCCAGAGCCTTCTTACTGTGAGGTATCATGCTGCCATATAGAATAAATGTCTGATGAAATTATATTTTTTTATTAGTGTCTCTGGTGATCCTTACCTTCACCCCTGCTGACACAATAAGCTTCGTCGGGGCAATCTAGGTCATGGAAACTTCCAAAGACCTTTGCCTGTCCCACCCTTCTCTGCACCTATGTTTTAGTGGGCTTAATGAGGCAGACAGCTGCTCCCTTAGCTGCGATATCCCTGTGGTGAACTGTCCCTAGGAGGAGCATAGACAATGTCACCTTCAAGTTCAGGCACACAAGTGAACAACTGGAAACCAAAACAAATCTGCAAAATCAAGAGAAACAGTACAAATTATTCCTTTGTAGAGAGAGGATTCCTTGCAGACACATAAAGCTTCTAACATCAATTCAACAGCTCTAATACAATTGTTGCTCACTGTCATAGCTGAAGTGTTAGGTCTGGGCTTTTTTTTTTTCTAATCACAGTTCTCTTCAAAGGAGTATTGGTTTTAGATATGTGTTTCTGAAGCTAGACAGTGTTCAATAAAACACAGCCAGGATAAAAATACTTCTGCAATGTAATTAGGGGACTTTGCTGAGACGACAAGTACAAATGTGCAATAAGAAGGTAAAATCCAGCGAGGCTGGGTGATTAGGTCTCATTTGGATGTATTCTGCACACTGTGACAAGCGCCTGTTTCAGGGCACGGCAGTCGCTCGGATCGAAGGCCCACAGTGTCTGGGATTATGTGTCAATTTACCACCCAGCTGCAGCTCCACACTCTACAGCAGAACATGACTACCTCTAATTAGGCCCTGCTACCAATTAGGGTCCTGCAATAAGGCAACAAGGAAGGCACTCTGGGAGACTAAAACCTACCATTGTTGCTACCATAAAAAGAAATCTCAGCCCTTGAGCTTCAACAGCTGTTGAAAGCTGAGGACCATGTCCTATTAAGCTATTTTTGGTTTACTGTGATGCAATGAAGACAACATTTTAAGTGAGGAATATGAGGACAGAATGCAAACATCGTCATGTTTCAAGTCTGAATGGAACATTAGAATGGAAGTGAAAGACACTGAGAACCGTCTTAAAGCAGCTTCGTGCCACAACCCTAACCTGAACTTGTGTTGTGTGATCCCACAGGAAGCCAGGGTCAGTTCCCCATCACTCAGAATGTGACGGTGGTGGAGGGGGGCACAGCCAACATGACCTGTCGTGTGGATTACAATGATAACACTTCCCTCCAGTGGTCAAACCCTGCACAACAAACTCTGTTCTTTGGAGACAAGAAAGGTAAGTAATATTTAAAAAAAAAGTTAACTATGATTTATGATAAATGTTAAGATAAGATGTCTGAACCAGATTGTATTTCATCAGTATAATTAATTTTAAATTTTTTTTGAATGTTCCAAGCTGTTTCTTCCTCTCTGCCTAGGAGCTCGTAGTTTGACTGATTACACAACAAAGACGATATAAAGAAAATACATTTATTTCTTGTAATGTTGAAGCAGACTTTTAATGATTTTATGTCTCTGTTGGTGTCCCAGGGCACAACCTAAACAGAAATAGACTGCTTTTTTTATACTTTTGTAATCATGCAACACTGACAGTGCTGTTTACAGCTGCGTAACGCCTGTGGATGCTGAGATGATTGGGCTTAACTAGTGTCGATGCTGCCCTAAATTTGTATAGCTGTTTTGATGTCACTCTGGTATGGAAGTAGACTGTTGCAATCTTGTGAAACAAAGGCTCTGCTAGAATGAAAAATAATGTGCTCTCACCAGCCAAATCCAATTTAAAGGTGACAAAAGTCTAGATTTGATAAATTGGAACGGGGGCGAAAGGAAGTATAACAGTGGACTGGTCTTGTACGGGTCGGGGTGCTCCTCTATCAGTGTTTCTCACAGCATATTACCCATTTCATTTATGCTGTAGCTGCTAATACAATATCATTGGTTCAGTGATTGAAGATGAACTTTCCCTCTGAATAACAATTGATGGCAGGGGACGATGCTAGAGTGAACCAACAGAATGAGAGTCATAGTCAGGTTCGAAGAAATACTTTACCCCTCACAACTGATTGGATTTAGTAATGAGGTTGTTGTGGAATACTGATTATGTATCACCTTGGCACTGTCCAATTGTTCATATCTTATGATATCCCTGGACGTCATCATCAAGCTGACCTACTTCATGTACCAGAACGAGGCACATTCTGATTGGTTGTTTCATTATCACATAATG